AGAGAGAGAGAGAGAGAGATCACAAAACATTAAATTATTAAACTTATCTCTTGTCAGTGGTACGAAATAAATGATAGGTTCAATTTACTTTGTAACGAAGAGATTCTAATAATTAATATCACGAATTTTGTATTATTTATTTACATATTATACACTATCATATTTATAACTTATCTGTAAAATATTTTGGCGATATAGTATATTTATGCAATTCTAACATAGGGCCAAAGCACATAACATGGCGTAGCGATATACGACGGTCGTAGTCCTCGACCTGACAAATCAAGATACGCCAAAGCTTGTGCGTTACTTACGTCCACGACTACGACTGTCATATGTGCTTTGGCCCATAAGCTTCGTTAATTTTTTGCTAGTTAATATACGCATATATATGCATTGTGATTCTTTTTTATTTTCTCTAACTTTTCGCTCATATCTAATATCAAATCTATAAATTATTCGATTGTCAGGTCGTCATAATATTGCAGGACTATGCAACATTCAATACAAAATAAATAAAAATAAAATTCAAAATTAAATAATTATATTTAGCGTTAAAGACTGACTATATGATCTATAATCCGAATAACTATATAATAGATATTCCATTTGTAATTTTGTAGTATAAACATAAAAAGAAGTTGGCAATATGAGAGTCGACGCGGTTATTATTAGTGCGTAATGTCAAAAGACAGATATATTTGCATATTACCGGACGTTTCGGCTCATCAACGGTACAACAATATACTATTCTCCATCATAATCATGAGCCTTCGGATTAGGAGGTCGGAAAATCATGAGAACTAAATGATTGTTATCAGATGCTATAACAGTGTCGTGCGATCTATCGTGACAATAATATGTCATAGGCACTTTAATCTTTAATGTAATTTTATATTATTGTTGACCATCTTCCGTTCTCCGGACTATCTGATAGCAATCATTTAGTTCTCATGGTTTTCCGACCCCCTAATCCGCGCAAAGGCTCAATGGTTATGATGGAGAATGGTTTATTGTTATACCGTTGATGATGGCTCGAAGAAGAGCCGAAACGTCCGGAAATTTGTAATATGCAAATATATCTGTCTTTTGACATTACGCACTAATAACCGCGTCGATCGACTCTCTTATTGCCAATTTCTTTTTATGTTCTTATTATTATTGAGAGTCCTTAATTATTTTATTATTATAGAAATAATACACACATTCATCAGAATATATGACATAAGAAATTATAAGTAGAACTGTATCAGCGAAATTTATATCCAAAAATTTTTAATAATTTTTAAGTGTTAATAATCTGACATGAATTATATAGATCATCAAAAGTTGGAGTATTAAAAATGTGCAGTATAAATTGTGTACAGAGCTAGTGTGTCTACAACAAAATACCTTGAGTATTTCGAAAACTAAGCCCGACAAAAATATTTAAAACAATAAAGTTTTATGGTCTAAAGAGAGACAAATAATCGTTAAATCAATTTTCGAAAAAAAATTGATTTTTCAAAGTCACATAAAGCTCATAGCCATTTTTTAAATAAAATTATATAATCTTTTTAAAATAATGTTCTAATTATAAAAATCTGCATATAAAAATATTAGTTATTAAATAATAAGAACATAAAAAGAAATTGGCAATAATTTACGAGATGCTTTGTCCTTTATTTTATTTTATTTTGACGTAAAATAGTAAAAAGTAAAAATTATAAGCATATATTAGGTGTATTTCAAAATGTATTAACAGTACTAAAAATTTATAGTTCACGTTACGTATGCCAGTATGCTATAGATTTTTAGTAGTCAGTACATGAAACGTATGTATATATATCTATTATTGTAACTTTAACCAATCACGTTTTACTCGATATATCAGGAACTGTATCAACAACATGGAGTAACCAATCAGGTTTGCCGCCTTGTTCTCTGCATCTCATGTATTCCATGGTACTCTAACCATGTCTGAATACATATATTTACAACCGATAATCCATACGTTTAAAAAGTTAATAGCTGGATATGCAACATGATTGAAATTTCAAGAATTCGACAAAGAACAAAATAAAAGCTGTAGGCGACGTTTTGTGCCGAATATAGGCTAATTGCATACATACGGGATTGATGTTTTTAGAACTGTACCAACAGTGCGGGGAGAACTCGGCGAGATCGGTCTTTCAGGTCTGCGAGAATGACTAAGCATATTTATCGGGAAAACGCAAAAGACAGGGGAATCCGGGCGTTTTCGAGACTATTCCGTTCTCGGGCGTGAAAAACCACCGGCTCGGGGATAGCTATGGATGGAAAGAGATCGATCAAAATGGTATGTTTACGTAGCGTATCGCGTACCTGTGTGAGCGTCTCCTCTTTCTCGATACCTTTACAAATGCGAGCGTTTGAAGAGGCAAAATTGACAAGTCATACGTATAAATTTCCATTGTTTAACTTGAATGTTGCATAATTTTGTCAAATGAGCAAAAACGAGGCGCATAAATTCCATACAATGTCCACCACAAGAATGTCGAGTTTTCATCAAGTATCTTGTACTACCCGTTGATACAGGATCCGCTCTCACCTGGCCCATGTCTAGACATTAGCGACGACGAGCTCGTTACGATATCGGTGCGGGACTTGAACAGGCAGTTGAAGCTACGCGGGCTGTCCCGAGAGGAGATCGTACGTATGAAGCAACGGAGACGCACCCTGAAGAACAGGGGCTATGCAGCCAGCTGTCGCATAAAGCGCATCGAGCAGAAGGACGAATTGGAGTCTGAGAAGACCCAGGAGTATCGCGACATGGAAAATATGCAGGAGGACAACAATCGTATGAGGGAAGAGATAGAATCCTGGCATTCAAAGTACCAAGCGCTGAAAAAATTTGCCCAGGAAAAGAAGATCATTATTCCACCTGATCTGGAAAACATGTAAAAAAGTTCGGAGATATACCGATTAGCTATACATATATTTATATATATTGACAATAGGATGGTTTGGTGAATGTTTTAACGTTGCAATTGTGTTCTACAAATTCTCCTTCTACTTTGTAGAGTTGTAGAAAAGACTTTATTTTGTACATATAACTTAGAATTCAAATTATCCTCTAGGTATTTTAAATTATACAAATATCGTACCTACTACCACAATACTATATAAAATAGTTCTCTGATTTAGCATGTAAGAATATATAGGAAATATTGTAAGAGAGCATCGAGCTATGGGACAATGGGTGGAGAATATGGCAGTTCCATTGATTTTTCATGCATCTTCATTTTCAGTACATAATAAATGTATTAATCTGCTAACCACGTGAATATTTATTGAATTTCCTAGTAGTCGGTATTTTTGTCTATCCGTGATATGCTTTGGGAAACGGAAATCTTCTGGGAAACACATTAATCGGCACACTTCTTTCGGTGAAAAAAACCTGAGTTTCAAATCCGACAAGATCCGCAATTGCGTATCCGAATCGTTCTCCCGACTGCCAGCTTCGTTATACTTCGATCTGATTGTTTCGTCCGTAAACGGGCAATACACAGATCCCGTACCCTCCGCATAATGCCCGTATCCTTTCGTGAAGCAACAGGAACCGCTGCTCTCGGACGTTCGTATATCCAGCACCCATGCTCTCTTTTGTAACAATTTAGAAGGTAGCGAATATCTCGATTCTTCAGTATTTTCCAAAATATTGTCTAACGTGTAACACAATCTACCAGATCTCGGATTAATCTTGCCTTTCTTCTCTGCCAATACCGAGTGCTCACTTTTTGGCAGTAACTCGAACAATTCAGGTGGCAAACTACTTTCAACCGAGGATTGTTTGAAACAGAACTTCAGATTAATCCTCTTCGCCAGTAAATAATATCTGTGTCTAGTGTTTGGTATACCAAATTGACACGGGCTTAATATTAACTCTCTGTAGGTATACCCACAATTTTCTATGCAGTTTACTAGTTTGTTCCTCATTTCAGACATCTCGAAACCTTTGACATTCTCAAGCAAGATATATTTCAAGTTTTTTAATTCTGGTATCAGGTTCAAAATGTGCAGCAAGGAACAAGTTCTGTTATCAAGCGCATCCTTCTTCAGTCCTAATCTGGTAAAAGGCTGACACGGAGGGCTCATGAGTATAACGTCTGCATCCAACTTGGTCAATTCCTGTGCGTTAATAGATTGTATGTTTCTGTTCATGAGAGCAGTTTCTGGAAAATTGTGATGATACACGTCGTTCGCAACGGGATTTATGTCGATTGCTGCGACGACTTTTGCCGCAATTCCACTCTCTGAAACGATACAACGTGCATAACGAAGACAAGTTAACATCCACCAGGTTGATTGATTTTAATGTTTATAGAGATAAAGGTTCATAATGTAAGATTGCGTGAGAATTTACCACGGAGCGCATAATGCATCCCTCCAATGCCACTGTACAGCTCCAGCACTTTCATTATCAGCAATCTGCCTGAAGCTGTTTATAGAAAAAAATACACGTGCTATACATACAAAAAGTTAAAAAAAAATTTAAGTTAAATCGAGATCTACATTGATAGAAATGGACTAGCCTATCTATGTAAAGTTTATGGTGACCAGATATTAACCTAACCTAACCTTTAACCCTAACCTAATCCAAATTCAGACGTTCGTAATTCATCAGTCGTCAATCGTGATCTCCGTCTTAAATGCAGGTCGAATCAAGCTGGATTCTGTTTTGCGTCGTGTAAAATTCAACGATCAATGGCTCGGCCGAAGGAGCGAGATTAACGTGTCATCAGGCCAAAGACGATGAACGGACGCTTAACGTGCGCATTAACGAGGCAGTAAACGACTCGTTTCACTCGTTTGTGGTAGACTCGAAGTCTTAACCTGGATGGCGATGTAAAATATAAAATCCTTCGTGATCTAAGACATTTATGCCGTTCACGCTACTAGTTTGTACGGTGGGCACGAGCTCGACAGAACGGTATGTCTCTACGATTGTCGCGTGAGAAGGAGACGCTTGCTCAACGCAGGAGGAGGTAGAGCTTGGATGGAACGCGAATGCGGGCACGTCCGTTCGAGATAGCTGAAAATGTTTCGCAGTCGGAGCTGGTTCGGCGGCGGGCTTTGGAAGCCCAAGAACCCGCATTCCCCGGAGCACCTTAAGTACGTCGTGGACGGTCAGCCAATGTGCTGCTCGCTGTAGCGTCGCTAAAAAGCTATACTTACAAATGCGTTTGTTTGTGTTTGCATTCAGGTACCTGTACAATGTCTTGTCGAAGAATCAGACCGTGTCTGAGAACAACAGAGGTTTGCTGGTCGAAACTCTACGTTCGATAGCTGAGATTCTCATATGGGGCGATCAAAATGATAGTAGTGTATTCGAGTTAGTAGATACAATAACAATGCCATCTCTCTCTCATTGCCATCTCTGAATCTTTATTGATGATATCGTTCTAAAATCCAAGCTAATACCTTGACAAAATATAGAAGCATAATAGGATATAAATATATATTATATATTTACAGCTTTTTTCTGGAGAAAAACATGCTTTCGTTTTTCCTGCGTATTATGAAGCAGAAATGTGGGAGCTACGTGTGCGTTCAGTTGCTTCAAACGTTAAATATTTTGTTCGAGAACATACGCAATGAAACATCCTTATGTGAGTTTTGTAAAAGCTTTTTTCTTTTATATTAAGCAACTTCCAAGTGATCAATTTGTTGAAATCTTGTGTTTTCAGATTATCTACTGAGTAACAATCATGTGAACAGTATAATAGTGCACAAATTTGACTTTAGCGATGAAGAAGTAATGGCGTATTACATCAGTTTCCTGAAGACGTTGAGTCTGAAATTAAACGCACATACTATTCATTTCTTCTATAATGAGGTAAACGAGGTACACGCATAATGATATTCTGTGCTTTAATTTAGCTTGAGTTTGTTGATCGTGTGAATAATTGCTAAAGAAATATAGGTATAATAAGATGCATACGGATATGCCTGTATTAGTATTATCCACTAAAATTCACTGCCTTTGACCAGATTGTAATAGGTTTCTTTCTGTCATTAGCATACCAATGATTTTCCACTGTACACAGAAGCAATCAAATTTTTCAATCATTCGGAAGGTATGGTGCGCATAGCCGTGAGAACTCTGACGCTAAATGTGTATCGCGTCGAAGATGCATCTATGCTAGCCTTCATAAGAGATCGCACAGCCGCGCCATATTTCAGTAATCTCGTGTGGTTTATCGGGGATCACATTATAGAATTAGACACTTGTGTCCGGAACGATGCCGAGTAAGTGTCTCGATATTAAAACGCCTCTTTTTCTGTTATTAATAAAATGTTCCTTCTAGTCACCAGAGTCAAAATAGATTGTCGGATTTGGTTGCGGAACATTTGGATCATCTGCATTATCTAAACGACATATTATGTTTAAACATACCGGACTTGAACAAAGTTCTATCGGAACATTTATTAAATAAACTGTTAGTCCCGTTGTATGTCTATTCTCTGATGAAATACAAAAACGCTTTGTGCCAAACTCAGGTAAGGATCGAATTTTTATCTCCTTCATTATAGGAATAATTATATAAGTTGAATTTTTAGGATGAGAGAAAACACGTCAGTGTTGTGGTAGCGCTTTTTCTACTTTCTCAAGTCTTTTTGATAATATCGCACGGACCTCTTGTACATACGTTAGCAGCCGTGATGCTCATGTCCGATTTAGAGACGATTCAAATTGGAACGAATGAGGTTCTGGAAAAATTTGGGGATATAGCCTCGAATAGGTCTATTATTCTTTCACCGCCGAAAGAAACGTTGAAAAAATCTTTGGAGACTTTAAATGAAATGCGCTCAACACCCGAAGAATCTTACGATCAAGAAAACAGTACAAGAAATATAAAAGAAGATAAAAGTACAATTAACGATACGCAAGATATCAATCACCCAAGCACATCGTTTGACGATGCTTCAACTTCTGTAAATACTCCCGTTCTTATGAGTACACCACCAAATACAAGTATTCCGAGCGAAGAGGACTTAGAGGAAATTAAGCACTTGAATGTGACGGATGAGGAGAAAGAGCAACGCTTGGCGTTGGAGAGCCCTTTGATGCCTCATCAAAGTCAAAATGACTTATTCGAATCCTTGACAAAAAAACCATTTCTAGAAACAATAACCAATTCTTTATTATGCACAGAAAATGATTATGCTGCATTATTCGCGCTTTGCCTATTATATGCATTAGCCAATAATCAGGTAACCATTATAAGTTTTCTCATCTGTCTTATTTCTAAATATTTTACATAATAATAAGTTGATTCTATTATTTACCAGGGTATAAGTCGTAAAATTCTGAATATAATCCTGTCTCCATTCCATAATGACATGTCGACGAAAAATTCTTATAATGAATTACTCATGGAGAGGTTGATTCATATTATAACTTTGAGTTGTCAAACAAGTGAGTTATATCAATATTTTTCATTGTAATATATGTGAATTTAACGTTTACATCTACCACGCATAAAGTTTCCACGTTTAGTAAAGAATTATCAATTCTTTGTTAGATTCCAAAGTGAGGCTCATTACATTGGAGTTAACTATCAAGCTATTAACACAACTGACGGTATCCGAAGGACAATGCCTATTACGAGAATCGCATCTAGCAGTTATTGAAGCAGCGAAAGAACAAAGCACGTCTCTGCTAAAAAACTTTTACAAGGTGAATTATTAAAATTAGACCAATTGTAAGATGCGCTTGCGCAAATTTTCTTTGCTTTTTATCTTAAATATATTTATGTTAATAATATATTAATTTTACTTAGAGTGAAGATATTTTTTTGGACATGTTTGAGGACGAATATAGCGAAATTCAAAAACGACCATTAAATGTCGAATGGTTAATGATGGATAGCAATATTTTGTTGCCTCCTACAGGCACACCTATGACTGGAATTGAATTTAGCAAAAGGCTGCCGTGTGGTGAGGTAGGTAGAAATAGAAAAAAAAAACATACTTTTAGGTAGATATATAAGAGAAATAACAAATTTATGATGAGAGAATAAAATCGTGAATGATTGTGCAGGTGGAAAGGGCACGTCGTGCAATAAGAGTTTTCTTCTTGATAAGAGAACTATCTCTGACACTCAATATGGAAGCGGAAACTCAATTACCACTGACTAATCCGGCTAATTGCGTACAAGTCAACAACGTTCTTGATCTAAGTAAAAGTTATTTCTCTCTCTCTTACACATATAGTTAACTATTTAAAAAACGATAAAGTTAATATATTGTGATATTTAATATGCAATTTTTTTCATTTATTTATTAATTGTGATTATAAGTAAAATTAGATAAACGCAAGATTTGTTATTTATAATTTTATCTACAGATAACAGTGATTTGATTGCATGCACTGTCGTGTGGAAAGACGGCCAGAAAATTCGCCGTTTCTTAGTCATTGACGTTGTGCAATTGATTCTCGTGGAACCTGATATCAGTAAACTTGGATGGGGTGTTGCAAAGTTAGTTGGTTTTTTACAAGACATTGATGTTACCGGAGACAAGGATGATTCAAGATGTTTATATCTGACAATTTACAAGCCGTTAAGCAGCAGTACGGGCAATCGTATACCGTTACTATCGGCTAAATTTATTTTCGATGATCATATTCGATGTATGGCCGCCAAACAAAGGTTGGTTCCGTAGCAAACTTTACGCAAAGTCGTATTTATTATTTTACTTAATGAAATCTCGGTCAAATAATAATTTAGGTTGACAAAGGGACGAATAAAAGCAAGACAAAAGAAGATGAACCAGATTGCAAGATTGTTGGATATTCCGACAAGTATGCCTCATTGTTCAACACCACCGAATTATGCCTTGCGTAGTTTACGACATGAACGTAAGTTCAAAGCTAAAAATCAGTCAGCAGAATCTTTGTAAATGATTGATTTAATTTTTTTTTCCCTAGGTATAGTCGGACGTGGTCAGAGACCAAGGGATCAAGCGAGGCCGATGTTCACGGTAAACAAAGTTCCTGGGTTCGCGGCACAAATGCGTAGGGAGAATGTTAGGCCGGTGGCATCGTCGAGTTCCAAACGCGATGATGCCAGTTCGAACGAGAGGATTCATGAAAACGGTTTACGATCTAGAGACGGTTCACCCAAGATGCCAAGGCCGCGGAGCGAGGAGATCCCCCTAGAGGACATGCGTATTCGGAAAGCTTCTCTCACGTCCAATGGACTGAACGTGGTACACGTGTGTCCAGAAAGGAGGGACAGCCAAGGTGCTTGTTCGAATAGCAGCGAGTCTTCGTCTGTGATTAGTAGGAAACACTCTGAAGAAACATCGTTCACGTCTCCGCAGGGACAAGAATCAAAGCCACGTAGAAAGGGTCAAGTGGAAACTGTGTGATTAAAACAGTACAGTTACAGTTAACTCGGCGGACTAGCAATTCAAACTAAGCGTATCTTTTAAAAATTTTAAAGAACGGATGAGAATGTATGTACATGCCATACTTTTGAGTTAGCAAAAAGAGTCTGCTTGACTAATTTAAAAAAATTTTAGTGGGAACGTTTTATCTTATAACTAGTAGAAATAATTTTCATGATATTTTTATCCAATATGTGTTGGTAATAGCAATTAATTTTTTCAATGAAGGATCTTATCTATGACTAACGCAGGAAAAAATGAGGAGGTGGAAGTTATTAAATAATATTGTTAAATCATTGTTACACTTTTCTTTGTGTTAAAAATTATTGGGGCTGTCGTTATCTATACAGGCACCTCATGTTTTAATTTTAAATAAAGTTTATTCGCGCTACTTGATATAAATATCTCTTTAACGGTAAAGAATCGCGCAAAAATTCTCGTAATTATTTCACGTGTATATATTCCTGTTTTAAGGAGGTTATAGTTTTTCTATAATTTAAAAAATAAAGGACATAAACAACTTCAGGCGGCATTGATCATTTATATTCATATCTAAAATAAATTCTTGAAAATCTTTTGCGAATGACTGTAAAACACAAGACTTAATACTTAAGAGTTGAATATAAAAATATACACTAACCAAATTGTTGTATTAGAAATTGTGTATTTATTTCATATGTTGAAGGATATCCTGTACATGCATAGATATATGTTTATTATAAACATATTTTTTTTAAAGAACAATATAGCAAGAAACAGTTTTGTTTGATATCGTAAATTGCACAAGTGTATATAAAACTAACCGGATTCATATCTTTTCTCTACCCTGTTAATATAATATTCCATTAAATACATGTTCGTATTTCGATCTGTTCTAATATATTTCTTAAAAACAGTTTAGTATTATGTCAATAATCAACAAACGTAAAATTATATGGCTTCATTGCCAGAATTTTATTCGGTAAAATAAGCAACTGTTATAACTGTCTTAACTTTACAATGTTCTAATTAGAAGAAAAAGTAAAACATTTTTTTCTGTTACTTTAAATGTATTACATACAATATTCAATTTATTCAATCGAAAGAAATTAGCTCTGCCGTTCTAGGTTTTGTATCTTCTGCAGCTCGCGAAGTTTCGTTGGTTGTAGTCGGGACTGGAGGAGCAGGTTGAAATGGCATTGACTGCGCGCCAGGAATTTGGGCCATTCCTTGCATCGTTGGTACACCGGACGTTTGGGGGCCAGGTAAAGTTTGACCTGTTGCAGGAACAGGTCCGCTGTTAGCTCCAGCAGGCACTTGAATAACACTCGAAGGTTGATTGGACGAAATAGCAGTATTGGAAATATGCGTTGATATTGAGGGTCCTTGACCAGGCAACGTAGACGGTTGTTGCGATCCCATTTGCGGTGGTAGACCAACTACGGCACCGGCAACTACCGGGCCTGATGAAGGACCCAGGTGCCCTGGGGGTATCGGAGGTAATCCGATTTGAGTCGGAGGAGGGGCCTGCTGCGGCATTTGAGGTGAGGCGCCTTGTTGAGGTGATATATGTCTGCCTGCCTGAGCTTGTCCTGGCGACACGTGTACCGCGGGACCTTGTTGAGATCCAATCTGATGATTGCTCGGTGGCTGAAGCTGTTGAATAGGCGGCATTTGAGGCGGCATCTGAAAGAACAATATTCACACTTAGGTTTTATCGATAAAAACAATCGACAAAGACGTTTAAGTTCGCAAACTTACTATTCCCGGGCCTGGTATAGACACGCGACCTATATTCTCCTGTCCTTGGATCGATGGATCTGATTGTTGCTCCGGATTAGGAAGCGATGGCATCATGTGCACTGGCAAAGTATTCATCGGTGGCATATTATACCCTTGCATAGGATATTGACCCATGGCTGGTTGCCCATACATGTAAACTCCTTGATTCGTGGGTGACATAGGATTGTAATTAGCTCCAGCAGTCGGATAGTGGACATGACGAACAGGTGATCCTTGAGAAGGTCCCATAAACTCAGAAACTGCTTGATAACCTCCTGCAAAAATAGAATAAACATACGGTAGATATGGTTTTTTAAATAAAGATAAAACAGATTAAAGAATGCATAATAATTGTAAATAGCAAAATTAAAAATTACCCATTATATATTGCTGTTTCTGTTGCTCTTGACGCATTTGCATTTCCCTTTCTTGTTCTTGAATCTTTCGTAAAGCTAATTGGCGTTGATATTGTAAGTATTCTTGCTTCTTCTTTCGCATGATTGCCAATTTTTGCGCCATCAGCATCTGCCGCTGTCTCTCAGCTTCTTCTGCTCTTCGGCGTAATTTCTCTTTATGTTCATCTCGGAGCGCGTCCAATGCAGCTCTAGCATCTTTCATCTGAGTTAATTTATCTTGCAAGCCTTCGTAATACACTCTACTGTCATCTTGTTCTTGGATATATCTTAATAATCTATTTAAAAAAAAAAAAAAACATTATTTTCTATGATCAAAATAAAAAATCCAATTTATCACAGAAATAAAATATAATTTGCTTTTGAACATACCTGGAATGCATAGCTGTTATATTCATAAATAAAGTCTGAACTGAACTATCGTTAGCAATTGATCTGCCTCGCGAAGAGTTGCTTTTCATCCTGTTGACGAAAATTTCGACCTGAGATCTTAAACCACCCACAAATTCTTCCATCTGAGTATCGATTTCGCCATTTTCCTGTTTTATTAATACAAGTTTTTGGGGCATCGGACTGCTTATGTTAGGCGCAGATGGACTAGTCACATCCACTCTTGATCCATGCTCCTCGTTCACAGTTTGCCTATGTTCCCAATACTTGCGATTTAGATATTTAGCAAGTTCAGGTTCAATCTCGTCATCATCTTGTACCTGCAACGGGCTAGGACCCTAATGAGAAAAATTAGACTAATTGTAGAGACTTTATACTAGAAACTTCACAAGAAATTAAAATAATAATAATTTATGTTCACATAACATTCAGCTGAATTCATAAAACAAGATAAATTGTTAATAAATAACAATTTGATGTAATAGATTCAATAGAAACTACGATAAACTTACGGGCGATGGTGGTGGAGAATATGTTGTTCTAGTTATGGGAGTTGGATTGGACTTTATAACACTTGTAGCACGTTTCTTTTCTTTTTCTTTTTGTTCAGCTTCACTCTGACTTAGAGCTATTGCCAAATTTAATTCTTCCTCTTCTCGCAGTTCTTCTTCCGTTTTTCGAGCTGGAACCTATAACAAGATAAACTACTAATAACAAATGTTATATATGTATGTAATTCATTTTACTATTAATATGCATGAATTACTATATAAATGCAATATTATTACAATTATTTTAAATAATGGACAAAACTACCTGCGAGCAAGACACTGGAGAAGCCATTTTCAACTACTAATTTGATTATAAATGAATATACATACACAGTCTTGAACGTATAGTACGTTCCATCTTACAGAATAATTAGAGAAATCATGTTATATAAGAAAAATCCATTTAAAAAAATTGAGTTGCCCTTGAAATCTCCTCTACATATAATAAAAGCATTGCCATTGCATTTCATGTCTCAAAATCATACAATTTTGTAGTCTGCATTTTTTTTTAATTATTTAAAATAGCAAAGATATTTACGTGATAATCTTCAGATCACATTTAATTGAAGAAAACTGACGAACCATTTAATTGTAAATTATTTTAAAAAAGATAATTAGTGTCTTAAATGACATTTACATATAAATGTTAGTCATTATATTTACTATTCAGTAAAATACAAGTACAATAAGCAGCAAAACTTACCTGTTGCTGCTGAGCCAAAGTGCTTTTGAGATACTCCACTGGAAGATCGGTATCTTTGGCTTGTGTTGCAGATGGTCTGAAAAACTATGACGTTCAAAAAACTATCCGAATAATGTAAATCGCGACGAATGAAATAAGGAGTTTTCACCAACTTGTTAACTTGTTCGTAACAAGCTTCGCAAACTCGCACTTCTTTCTCAATCCCGAATTTGGGCAAAGTAGAGACTTTACTCGAACACTGGCCGCAAAAGACTTGACCGCATGCTCTGCAATGATGCTTCCGTTGAACCATGCCAAAAGTTACGCGACACCGATGGCACACCTCGCCATCCGCCCATGCGGGCGCAGTGTCTGCTCTAAACATAGCGTCGCTTTCTTTCAAAACAGGAAATTGATAACCTTCGGCTTTCATTATATTTAACGTGTCCTGCAAAAAGAAAAAAATAAATGTCAGAAGAATGAAATAGACAACATTTTATACTGATAACTAAATTGTAGCAAGTATTGTAGATAGCAATAATTCGTCACCTGAACTGTCCTATATCTAGGACTGTGACGAAATGCGTGAGCCCAAGCTTGTATTAGCTCCAAAATTTTATGTCTAACGTTCTCGTGCGGAGAGGTTTTAACCAATTCTTTCAATTGCTCCATATACTGTTTAGTAGCTATCTCATCGTGAATCAACGTCCCACAATTTTTCACACAAGATTCCAGTACCTAAATAAAAACACATTAATAAATATAAAAATATAATAAGTCTAATAATATAATCTTTTTAAAAAAAATTACGTCGTATGTTTCTTACCAGTAAGGCGTATAGTGCTACATGAGGATTACAGTTTATCATCTTCTTCTTTATAGCGGTGAGTGCAATTTTTGGCCTAAATATACAAAACAAATAGTTTAGAAACAAATAGTGATAATAATACATCTAATACGACTTTTCCAATGTGGGACATAATCAACAGTGTGTCGCTACACCCCAATTATTCAGCGAAAGATGAAAGTGTACTTTACATAAAGGAATTATGCTTACTGAACATCGCTCTGGCGTATAAGATCACAAATTTGCATAATTGTAGGCCAGTCTGGTTCCAACTGCAGATGACTCGTCGCCTTATCTACGAACGATTAATGACGGCTTTAGAAAGCTCCGACATTTTGAAGACAAGATTTCAAAGAAGAGCTTACCTAATAATTTATCAAAATTCGTCGAACTGCGAAACATCTTGTAACTCGTGACGAAACTCGCGTTCTCGCCTTCCCGGAGTTTTTCACCACGTATACGCGCAGAATAATCCGTACTCGGCAATCGGACTGCGACAGCTCCAGCAGCGCAACTTTTGACAAATCCCACTTCTCTGTTCTCTCTTCTCTCGCTCGCTCACGTTCAGCTGGTCTTCAGTCTCGTGTTGATCTTGTTCCTCTCTCCGAGTGTTTACGAGATATGTGAGTCATGGAAGTCGATCGCTATTATCGACTAATCGACTCTCAAAATTTATCGACGTCAAACAAAAGCTTTTATCGAGCGTTTGAATATGAGACCCGCGGTCCGTGACCCTGCGCACAATATATATAGAGTCCTTATTAGAAATAAGAATAAATATGAAAAATTAGAGGAATTGGAATTAGAAATAATAATTAAACGAAACGCACAATGGAAAAGAATAAAATATAAGATATAAATATAGGAATATTCTCACATTTACATATCCTAATATTTAAAATATTTATTATGAGAATATTTATTTGTATATCCTAATATTTAATATTTATTTTTGTTCCTAATATGTACTAATATTGTGCGCAGGGCCTCATTGGCTGCGGAAACTGCAGCTCGGTAAACGCTCAATAATTTTTTAATATGATTGGTTCGTGCACTTAGATCCTGCGCGAAGAACTAAAGGAAAGAATCAATCATATTAAGGACCGGTTGTTGGTAAACTAATTAATAGTTAAATCATATATGTATCTTTGTTTTTCCTTCAAATTAGACATGTAATTAACACATCCCTGCCTTTATGGCTCCTGCACACATTTTTTTTTATGAATCCTATCAATTAACGATCCGAATTGCAGTACCCAAAGGATTCAGCCAAACCCGCATATAACATCTGATTTTAATTATACTCATTTACATGATATATAAGTGTATTGGAATAAGAATTTAATTCCAGAATGATAAGTATGGAAAAAGTTTTCAAAAAACCGTTTCACATCCTGCACACAGGACGAGGAAGCACAGCCAAAAGCGATGCGGTATAGCCAATAAACTTTTGGTTCTTACGGAAAACCGGCACGTTGATTGGCTATCCCCTTACTGCGCGGCAAGCGTTTTCTTTTCACGCACGGTTACTATGGTTACCACACATATGTCACTTTCTCACATACATGCGAAATGTGGGGCACGATTATTGATCCCGAGATAACGGCGGCGAGCCGCGAGACCCAACGGTGTAGTATGTTACGTAACATATGGGCGCAAAGTCTTTTCTAGCAAGTTCGAAGCACGAAAATAAGCTAATACGTAAAAGTATCACTAATTTAAAGTATTATTTATTATTTCTTTATTTTCTAAAGGATGGTTAACTCCCCCATCCTACAGAGGATTTTATTTTGTGCCTAAAAATGTGGCTGCAAAGTTATTTTTAAACACTCTTCCTTTTATATCTCTTGTCATTTTTATGTTAATATTTCATATTGAAAAGCCAACTTTTGCTGTATTTCCAAATATGCGTATGTACATGCTTTTTACTTGACGCTCACTCTTTAAGTTATTTTCCTTTTCACTTTTAATTAAATTTTTTAACTGTGCATATTTCTTGAATGTCTAAATAGGGGACCTAAAAGCACCCCTTTTTTCACAAACTTGATATTTCATTAAGCTATTGAAGTCGCACGCGCATGTGTGGAAAGTGCATCGCGAGGCACGCATGAGCAGCGGAATTTTCCGCTGACCCGGCTAAACCCAAAGTAGAGGGGTTTAAACGCAGTTAACAATAGTATTGATCTTTGCCCTTAGATCTGAGTGTACGAGCCAATCATATTAAAGAATTGTTGAGGGTTCCGAATAATCAATAAATTAAACGCGGGTCTCCTCCCAGGTCAGCTCCCAGGTTCGGTTCCATTTGCTTCCATTACGGTGCGAGTAGCGGTACGTTACGGACGCTACGCTTCAGAAGCCGAAAATCCACGGAGAAGAAGACTGTATCAGAGCGACCAAGAGCAACCAGGTATAACGATTTGCTTCGGATTTCGAGTTATAATTCTAATATAAAGTTTCCTGTTACATTTATCGTCAAATTTAAAAATATCAGCCTCAATGGTCGAATTGTGAAAGAGACGCTCCTTCCCGGGCTGGCCGGGCTGGGCGTCGCTTTCGATATAATCATATTGAGCATCTGGAATGTGGTCAATCACAATAAAATCATTTACAGTTTGTTTTTAAAAGACGGTTATTTAGTATCGTGGTTATTGAAGAAATTATCAATTTAATTACGCGTACTATTACGGCTTTAGCTTTTGAGATTGCGTTTCAAGACCGGCATTATAATACTTTTTAGGCACAAAATAAAATCCTCTGTAGGATGGGGGAGTTAACCATCCTTTAAAAATATCTCCATTTAGCCAAATATTTTTTAAATTCTTTAAATAATTTAATTTAACAGCTCCTTTTCCAATATTTAAATCCATATTATATATTTAGAAAATAAAGAAATAATAAATAATACTTTAAATTATAGTGATACTTTTACGTATCAGCTTATCTTCGTGCTTCGAACTTGCTAGAAAAGACTTATACTACACCGTTGGGTCTCGCGGCTCGCCGCCGTTATCTTGGGATCAATAAATCGAGCCCCTCATTTCGTATTTATGTGAGAAAGTGACACATGATGTGTGGTAACCATAGTAACCGTGAAAAGAAAACGCTTGCCGCGTAGCAAGGGACGCGATAGCCAATCAACGTGTTGCTTTTCCGTAAGAACCAAAAGTTTATTTGCTACCGCGTCGCTTCTTGCCGCGCGGCAAGCGTTGAAGCGTTTCCGCGTCCTGTGTGCAGAAGCCATATGACGCGCAGTTTGCTGAGCTGGCCCGTAGAAGGCATATTTTTATCGTGTTAAAAATATACTATCGAGTATGAATAAATGATATTAATTACGCAATCAAAAATCTATTTGCCACGATTTAATTTATTTATCTGATTGTGAATTTGGGCAGATTCTCTTGTCATGGCCCCACACCCCGCACGTCCATCTTAGTCTGCGTTTGGAAACTTCACCCGGGTGCACCCGCCGAGACTTATGCTGTTCGGAAACGTTCAGGTTGTACCAGTGTGACAGAGATGAAGTCGTTCGGAAACTTCACCCGGGTGCACCTCAGGAGGAAAATTTTCCACCCTGAAATTTCAAGGTGAATGCGGGTAACTTATTACATTTGGTGGCATTTTTAAACTGTTGCAATGGAGTTTCTTCTTTTATGAAATTGTTCCGAATGGATTCCGATTGAAATTATTCCGTTTTCCCTAAAAAACAATAGAAATCTAGAGAATAATTGAATTTCGATCGGAATCCATTCCAAACATTTCCAGTCGGTTCTAGTACATCTCTGTGTCCAGTACTTCGTATACAATACACCAGATATTACGTATAATATCTTTTTTCTTCAAAAGCTGGCGAAGCTGGCGAATATCGCATACTGTGCGTTAAATACTTGAATTCGTAGCTCCATATTGTCTATTTCCGGTAAAAAAAATTTTATATAAAAACATTTAAATATATATAAATATATGATATTATATAAAATATTCTATAAAATATGTCTAAATATGTCTATGTGTGTTTTTTTATCTGGCATAATTCATGGACATCCTTCCTTTCAGCTAGCCGCTGCACAGGGCAGGATAAGCAAAATGAAGGAGTGCGAGTGCCAAAAGTCCTGTAGGGTGAATGGTACCGTCCACGAGGACGGCGCAACCTGAGTAAAGGATTGTCAACATTGTTCCTGCGTCCATGGCGAGATTGAGTGCAGGCCGACGCTCTGCGCTCCGTTCACCTGCAAGAATCCCGTCATTCTTGAGGGACAATATGTTGCCCGACCTGTCTCAGTAAGTGGAACATTATACTCCTGTCTTTTTCGTCCCTTTATCTTCCATTCTCAAACGTCTTTCCTATAACATTCCAAAATCCATGATAATTTTTAATAAGAAAATATTTTTATTAAATCCCATTGATTTCTAAGTAATTAACTTCAAAGCTTGACAAGAATCCTACAACATTTAGGATTTTTTCTTGTCTTTTCCTTAGCGCACAGTATATATAGTTTATCATTCATATTTCATATATTTCTTATTTTTAGAACATCGTATAAATTCTTGACATTTGAGAGGACAACTCTCTTGAGTAGTCTAATGTCGCTTTTACATGAATCCGTCTTTTACTTTCACACACGCAACTGACTGATTAATTGACGTAGAGTATTTCGTGTTCAGTCGACCACTTCCGTCTCGTGCCTCACGTTACTTATCTCGCCATTCATGTTTGCCTTCGCAGAACAATGTTTGTTGCACGGCGTAATTTACGATCGCGGCGAAAGGGTCTCATCGAAGCAGTGCGTCGAGTGCAAATGCTACGACGGTATCTTCACCTGCACGAGATTCGACACTGACACCAAATGCCCACCACTACCGTGTCCACCCAGCGAGCAACTCAGCGTGGCGGAGGGATGCTGCAAGTTTTGTCCAGGTACGTCTTCGTTTGGAAAGCTACACGCCGAAACGAATATATTCATTGAAAATTCATTTCCAAAACGAAATAACAAAGCATCTAATATTTCATATCTGTGCTGTATGATGTTATAACTCGATTCTAAACAGTCAGTATTGATAGTTTCGTTAATAAGAGAGTATTTTTTTTCTTATAATCCACAGATTCTTATTATAAAATAGATGATGTAGATATCAATCATATATGGTGAAGTACCAATCAATCTATTTCAATATATATGTATATCTACACTGTTGGAAACATTTTGTATAGTTTTGTTAAAAAAGGTCCTTGTTAAAATTTTTGTGTAAAATAATCAACACATACGTGTGTAGATTTAACATGTGCTTTCTATATTAATTGAACTTTACAAATTTAAAATGTAAAATTATTAAAATAATTTAAAAAATATGTTAAAGTAACACAATTTAAACGTATTTATTAAATGTGTTAAATTTTACAGAAAAAGAGTGTTGATTTTACTTAATAACAGAAGTAAGAATAAAAATTTACAGAAGAAGAATGTTGATTTTATCTTACAATCTCAACTTTAACATAAAAATTATGTTAATTGTACACATAATTAACCTCAAATTACGATCAGAATAACATTTCCTTCCTGTTAAAATATTTTAACATAGTATCGATGTTATCATTTAACACATCCATATTATGTTAAACTGACACAAAAATTTGAGCGGACTGTTTTGGATATGGAATATATGTTATATTTAACACAAATTTTCCAACAGTGTACTTATTCTGCGAGGACATATTAGATAGAATAATATATGTTAGAATAATATATGTTAAAGCGCAATAATTATCCTATACTGAAGTTATTGAGACCAAATATTTTCTAAAATTCCAATTATCACTTTGATTGGGGAGAAACTGGGCTATCTATCGGAGGAGACATTAAATTTGAAATTGATCGTCAAGCTCGGGGAGCTTGGAAATTAATTTTGGGTCAATAATACTGCTACCACTATAGCTGCAATATTAAAAAATATGAAGCATATGTGACGCATACTTCAAAATTTCAATTATGCAGTAAATAATTAGCCATCTTTTTAATATCGTACGGCTTTTTGCAACACAAAATAAATTATTTAAAAAAAAATTACGCACATACACAAATCACGTACCTTGGAAATAAAATTGAAGTACGTTGCTGGAAGAGATATGTCTTCCCGCGAATGATATCGGCATGCTGTAAAAAATTATATATGATAAATTATTTAAAAAATTACATACATACAAATGTGTACTTCAAATGTGATCTATACTTATTTCCATGGGTAGATGAGGCATCTCAAACGTTATGTGATTGAAACTATACTTCATGCGTAGAGATAGCTCAGATGGTGAAATCGACGTTCATCTCCATTTATAGAGGTACCTCCACAATCTTGATATCTCCAACCTTTATATACTAAAAAATTAAATTAAATTAACAAATTAAATTATTACACAAATGCATTTATTAATGCACAAATTATTGCACAGCACAAAATACTTACACCGCCGCACGGATAAGTAATTTTGAATTGCATACGGTTGCAATGCTTTAATTTGCATAAACGGTATATAGGGTGAAACTATTCGTTCTTCTAAGGCGGTCAAGTTGGTCACCTCTTTTGGTATATTTGAGTTACTTAAATCTGCATTTGGTGCTGTTTTTGGTATTTCTCCTGCTGTAATGTATTTTTTACAATTTTTACAGACATATTTCGACGAGTTATTTTGTATTTGTTTAATAAATGTATTAATCACAACATTTTTTTTAGATAACTTTTTTTGTAATTTAGTAAAACTAATTCGTTCAACTGACTTTTCGAAAAACAAATTTTCACAATATAAATAAACTTTATCTATAGTCCTTGTTTTCTGTTTTGTAAAAATTTCATAATTAATAAATTTTGATAATATTCATTATCGCGTGAATACCACTTTTAATCTTATTATGAACAAAATTGCTGAAGTTTTCACAAAATCTTACAAAATCGTCAAGTCGAATTAGACATTTTCGATGTCTATCTGTAATTTTTTTTCTTTTGTTGTAGTTTTATTCCTCAGGTAATGTGCGCTTAACTCGCATTCTCTCTCTATTTTTTATTTTTTTAGTTGTATTTTATCTTTTCTTTTCAAAATAATTCTTTTGACATTTTTCTCCGTCTCGTTATGTTTGTATAAACTTGTATCTTGCCCACACCTGTAAAAAAAGTCTGCCTCTTTTTCTTTGGTAGACTCTGGGTCGGAGGTAAAACCTCCCGTCTTGATGTCCAAACGGTTCAATGTCACCACGGGAACTAAACCGGACTCCGGTACGTTCTCGTGATTGCTTGCTTCCACGAGACGCGATCTGGTGGATGAGTCAACTGTTACATTTATTCACATTTATTTTTTTCAACTGGCGATTCTAAACATTCCACAGGCATGGATACTCTAAGAACATTATTTCTGCTGTTACCAATGCAGTTCCTCCTATAACCATAACTGCATACATGTGTAGTAGAAGTAATTAAATAACAATGTTCTTCTTGGCATTCCAGGGGGTGGCAGTGTGGTCTTGTGGTAAAGCGCTAGTCTCGTCGGTAACTCATAATTACGGTTTATAAAATGAAATCGATCCATTCACACTCCTGCCGAGGAGCCGGGTTCGAGTCCACCTGATCACAGGAACTTTTATATTCCAAACTGCACCCTCCGCACGAGTGGGGCTCGTGCGGAGAAACTGGGCTATCTTTCGGAGGAGACATTAAACTTGAAATTGGTCGTCAAGCTTGGGGAGCTTGGGAGTTTTGGGTCAATAATACTGCTACTACTAGCTGCAATATCAAAAAAACAAAATTTTGTGCCACGCGTACGAAAATAAAATAACATACAATGCTACATCGTTTATCGCTACCAATGCAGTTCCGCCAATAATCATGACTGCATACATATGTGCAGTCATGATAACTACATATTCTTTTTGGCATCCCAGGGGGTGGCAGTGTGGTCTTATGGTAAAGTGTCAGACTCGTAACCCCGAGGAACCGGGTTCGAGTCCACCTGATCACAGGAATTTTTATATTCCAAACTGCACCCCCCGCACTAGTGGGGCTCGTGCGGAGAAACTGGGCTATATTTCGGAGGAGACATTAAATTTGAAATTGGTCGTCAAGCTCGGGGAGCTTGGGAGTTTTGGGTCAATAATACTGCTATCACTATATATCTCGTATATAATAAATAATTTATTACTTCTCAGCAAACAGTATCTCATTCTGAACAATATTTTAATTTGATTCAAAATAATTGGCCATCGGTACTATGTGACTGAATTATTTACTCAAAACAAATTTTTTTTTATTGAACAATTTCGTGCCATGCGTACGAAAATAAAATAACATACAATGCTACATCGTTTATCGCTACCAATGCTATCCTTCCAATTATCATGACTGCATACATATGAACAGTCATGATAACTTTTTAGTGTATAGTTATTAATCTAAGGTTATGGTCTCGTCTATAACCCTATTGCCTACTTCCTCAAAATCGAGAGTCAAGGCGGTCGAGACTTCTTTCTCACAATGAGTTTTCGGATCTCTGGAGCATTTCTTTGAATCTTCTAAAAAAAGATTTTTTTGCAGATTAATGTTCTTTAAAACGGTATTCGCTTTGAATGCACGCGTTAGAATTATCCTTAGATATATTCCTTGGATTTACTAGTATATTTCGAAAAAAGAAAAAAATAATTTAAAATAATTTAAAAAATTATTTATTTGTGCTGGTTATGACACATATGTAGACTATATATAACACTTACATCAAATTAAGAAGTAGTCTACCACGTAATGTCAGTGAAAGTTGCGCAACAGTAATCAAAAGATCAAGGTGCAAATTAACCTTGCACGTAACAGAGGCGGCATAAGATGCTTGCACAACTTAAGCTGGTGTACTGAGGCGTTCACTCTGGAAACAGTTTTTGATACCTGTTCTTTCCAAGAAAGTGTATTTGAGATAATAACCCCCAGGTATAATACCGACTCTACATACGATAGAGAGACTCTACATACGGTAGAGAGAAAGAGAGAGAGAGAGAGAGAGAGAGAGAGAGAGAGAGAGAGAGAGAGACTATTTGCGTGTTTTATTACATATGTCCTCCGGGGCGGAGCCCGGGTAACCTGCAGTATAGCATTGCATGCTATGATCGTAGCATTAAATGCTATGGACATAGTAATTTTACACAAGACTATAGCATTTAAACTTGGGCGTCTTGATGGTCCGCAGTTGGTGCGGCAGCATAGTAAAATTTAACATAAAATTTTCTCCGTGTAGAGACGGAGCACGCGCTCTGAATATGTTTCGATACGCGTGCAATTTCATGTGAGAAGGTATTTTTATGTCGTGTGAGTATGGTTAATACACACATCAAGACTGTCATTATTAGATTGCGCGGCGCGACGTTGGCCCAATTAGGCCTATTTTGTAATGAGCCGGCACTGGTTTCTGACATTCACCCAACATTAAAAAAAAATTATATTCGTATATCCAATTTGAAATGTTATTACTCTTTTTAAACTAAATTTGTTTCTTAAGAATTTTTAAAAAATTATTTATTTGTGCTGGTTATGACACATATGTAGACTATATATAACACTTACATCAAATTAAGAAGTAGTCTACCACGTAAGACAGTTTTGGCTCACGATCCAGAGGTCCCGAGGTCTCGAGTTCGAATCCCATTAAGGTAAGTGTGTTTTTTAAGTATGAGAAAGTATTTATAATCATAGGTTGCATCTTAAGAAACAAATTTAGTTAAAAAATTGTAATAAAATTTCAAAATAAATATAATTTTTTTTTATGTGGGGTGAATTTCCTCATTAGAGTTCAAATCGACATCGAGTCGACATTGTTTCGACATTGATTCGATTGCTATATTTTTTATAAATATCAAATAATTTTTCAAACAAAAAGGTTGGAATCACTCCGTTTGCAGACTCTATTATGACATCAAAAAACGTTATAAAAGCGCTCTAGTTATCATACGAAATATATCGATTTTTCAAAGATTTCGATATTGATGAATGCTCGAAACTGGGACCACCTGAATATCGAAATTGATGTGAAGATCGATTTTGAGATATCGATATCTAATCGACGTCGATCCGATGTATCGTTTCTCACTGGGTGGAGACTTGCTCCCGGAAAGTGACATGCGGATTTGTGACTTCGAGAATTGTTCCAGTTCCGCTTCCGGCAGCGTCTAATGCGACAGTCAAAGCGGACAATTAAAAAGTTTTTACAAGTGTTT